GAGTGCGCGCCGCTGGCCCGGTCTCCGGCACCTCCCCCTCCCCCTCTCCCTTCCGCAGGGGTCCCCCGAGCAGCCTGGGCTGGGGAGGCTGGGCCAGGTGGCCGCCCGGGCACAGGAGAGCGGCCGGCGGGAGACCGCGCTGGTTGCTGCTGGGGCTGCTCCGCCTGGCTGGCGGCTCGTGCGGCGGACAGCTCTAGGCCGGCGGTTCCCCGCTTTCCTTGTTCCGGTACCCGTTTGTCAACACGGGGGGCTCGTCCCCACCGCCTGCCCCCCGTGTGTGCAGCCGCTCACAGGCTGGACCTGCCAGCCCCCGAGGGAAAAGCCACGGCTTCCCACGTTTTTCTTCTCTAGTAGAGAATCTGTTTTTCAGGTTTGTTCATGATCCTTTCATGTATTCTGGCAACCCACTCTTTCGGGGGGTCACGACCAGTAGGTTGAGAAATGCTGTTGTAGGATGGACGAGCCCCTAGCTTGGTACCTGAAAGCACAAAGTGTGTCTGTGTGCGTCATTGGGGAAAATTGCTTCCTCTTCCACTGGCCAGTTAAGTAAGGAGTTGTGTGGGACCGTGAGCAGCATGTCCTTCATAGCCTGTGAAATGTTTTCAAGTACTTGGGGGATATTTCTCTAGTAGCAGAGGTTTCTCATGGTCCTAGCCACTAGACTCTTTTCCTTGTGGGTTGGTGTTTTTCAGTATCTGCCCATCCTAAACCAAGTCACTCAGCAGCTCTGTAAGAACAAAACCAAATAAAAATGGTTTGTTAAATGTTTGCGATCGGTAGTAAATCCTCTCCGGAGTTCTTTGTATTGTTCCTTGAATTGGATGGATAACACCAGTATTGGTTTCAGAGCTAAAATCCATGGTGTAGTGACAGGCATTTGTGCTAGCACATGCAGAATCTTTTTTTTCTCTGCCCCTTGGGACATTAGACTTTTTTCCACCAAAAAGTAACTTTTTTTTTTTCATGAAAAGGCACTATGTACTTGGAGCTAGGCAAAACATGGCCTCTGGCTCTGCCGTGTGCTCTAGCAAAACCAAGTCCTGCAATTGCTGTTGCTGCTGCTGAGAAGCTGAGCTGTTTAGCCCAGATCAGTGTGCTACTACAGCTTTCCAGTTTTTGGCACTGGGGCTAGGGAACCCCAGTGTGCCATGGAGTCATCCTGGTTAGCACTTAATCTGCACCAGGCACTTGATCATTTTCTTCTAAAATCATTTCAATGCCTTTAGTTGCATCTAATGCTTTGGCACACTTTCAAAATCTCATGTCTGCAGCTTTGGTCTTTATTGATTGTTGGTTTATTAGCATGTTTCAATTTCTGTGGATCAGCC